TCAGGATTCATGAAAAAACTCACAGCACAAGAACATGAGAACATTGAAAAAATAGAAGTAAATTCACATTGAAAGTGATCATAAGACTGAAATTCATCTTAAAAGACTAAAAAGTTTAAGGTTCGATTCAAACTGTGAAAAACTTGATTTACTCGAAGCACTTTGGAACTATCAAAATTACATTTTTTTATCACAAAATTAAAAATGTTTTGAAGGTTTCAAGCTATTGTAAACTAATTTAAAAAAATCTATGCAGATCTATATAACTTGCACTGCAAGTCCCCTTTCCCCAAATGCTAAGGTTTGTTAAGCAGTTTTTAGCATCCAATATCAAGAAAATTAGACACTGTACATGCTAGTGAAGTACTAGAATAGTTATATTAATAAGAAACTATACATCATCACCAGTCTGAAGCAAGCATTCAAAATCAATTGTGAAACTGATTTGAAAAGATTTGAAAGCAAGATTTGAAAGTTCTCAGTGTTTCCTGAAACTGTGAAAGAAATAACTGGGGTTCTTCATTTACAAAAAGCTGCCTGTTTCATTTTAAATGCTGTACCAGCTATTAGCTGAGATAAAAAGCTAACCTTTGACTTTGCTTTAGTAGACAGAAAGGGTAAAATTTCTTCTTTTCTTATTGGAAAAATACTTGTAAGAATTAAAAAATATATATTCTGCTGTCCTTAAACATTTTTAGCAGAGTCAGACATTTCAAAAATACACTGAATACCACTGCACGTTTTGGACATATTTGAGTTGCCACTGCAAGCTGAGATGATAAACAATAGAACACAGATGTTTTCACTAAGGCCACCAGTCCAAACTAAAATGTGGGTCAACTTCTACAAAACTCCATTTTTTTGTAGATGGTAACGGAGTAGAGAATATTTCAGTAACAATTCGAGGTTATTCTGCAGTGAAACCATACCTTATATTGATGGTGAAAACCTCTGCATCTTTGCAAGAGAATTCCACCACTAATCAAAGGGTTTTCTTCGTATGGCAAGAAAACTTCATTACTACCTAGTGACTTTATTTGCAATCATCAAGAATAAAGCAAATAATAGTTATGTGCAAAGGAAATCTCACACATGCTGCACAGTCCCTTCATGCCAGCCGAGCAAACAATGACAAGGAACCTCTGGAACTGGTTATGCCCATTGACTTCATCTAACACTTACATGAATATATATCCTTAGAAAAAATAAATGCATATTATGCTATTTGTATTGATCCTATCTTATTCTGAGTATTTTCTTGAGCAGTTTAGGAGCTTAGTCTTTGTTGATTACAGAAGAAAACTGAGATGAGCATAGGCCCTCCAGAGAGAGAGACATACGTGGGCTGAATAGTACTCAGTAGATGTGTTAATTTCTAATTTATAGCCCCAAAACATAGTAGCATCCTAAATGGGTTAAATGAAAAGTCAAAAAAATGACCCTAATTATGAGAGCAGGAAAGAGTAGAGAAGTAAGTGTCTCCAGGTATCTTTTGTTAGGTGCCCAAAATTGGGTGGGATGAATCTAATCAAAATTTATCATTGGTTGAATTCACCACTAATGAGAAAAAGACAAGCCTATAGACAACAGAAGAGAGATCTAGCTGCTGATCTTTTCAGAGCCTTTCTATCTAAAATACAGTGAATAAAGGGCAGCTGTAACTATCACTACCAGATTCCAATACAGCTTGAACACTGCAAAGATTCTTGAACAGTCATAAAGAGTGAGAGAAACTAATCCTATTTCTCTTTGATTTTATACTCAAGCCACCAGAATTTCCAGATGGCAGAATCAGCTATCCTTTATATTGTTCATTTTTTTGGTGTTTTTATGTCTGCCATTTGTCCTCTGAAGCTTTCTGGTACTCTGTTGTTCTGCTTCATATACCCCAAGCTTCATTTCTGCAGCTGTGTTTCTTTTAAGATGTCACATTTGCTATAGAATTGAGGTCAGAGGCCTATTTTGTGATCCCACACTGCTATAGTTACTGGAATCCGTATTTTCTGCATTTACTTATTTATTTTTTCTTCTGGTTTATGATACTGGAGCTTAAGATTTCCATTAGGTATTGTTAGGTACAATATTACACAATCTCGGTGTATTACAAAGTTTCTGATGGTCAGCTTAACAAAGATAGAATTCTATTTTGCTTGCTGATTCTTTGAAAACCAGTTTAACTAATCTTACATCAAGCACACTGTTCAATACTTTTTGTTTTCAGTAAAAGGTAAACTTACAGTGCGATAGGACATCATGGATCCCTGAAATTCCCAGAGGCCAATGAAACTTCTTTCTTTGGAAATCCTTCCGTTAAATGAAATCAAACACGCTTAAGCACCATAATCTCTGAATAGACGGGGCACAGGGGACACTGCTGCTGAAGTTTGTAATTAATTCTTCATGCATGATAAACAGTTTGTTGCAAGGTCTTATAGAAAGCTATAAGCTATATTACACAAGTTATATTACAAAGCCAAATATTATCATTAAATTGCATTTTTTTTTTGAATGTGTGCATGTTTGTTCCCCAGGAACAAATACCGTAGTGTATACAATCCATTTTCACTATGGTTAGTCTTGCTATGTTTCAACACAGAGGAAGAGAAACATACTACTTAAGGACAGGATTTTCAGCAATGTCTAAATCCTATTGATTTTCATTAGGAAAGCTTCACTGTACATCATTCCTCTATTACAGCCCCTCAGCCTCTGCAAAGACGCTGGATGCTACGACCTGCAGATTGTTGAAATAAAACACCTACTGTTTAGTAAATGCTATGCAAATCCAAGCAGTGAGTCACTAAAACTGTGTGTCTCATTGAAGAGACATACAAGAGGCATATAAGAGACAATCTCCCTAGCACATGAAAGAGAGGAAGATCCTGCAATGATCAGTTAGAAATTACCTTCAAAAGATCATGGACATCAGCCAGTATTATCAATCAATCAGGTGTGGCAAACTGATTTAAATCTCTACGCAGCTACAGTTCTGTTTGAAACCTTGATTTCCCATTACACCACTCACTTGTATCTTCATTTATCTCTTTTCCCAAGGACAAGTGGAAAAGTTACATGACCTTTGATCATACATAATGTTGGGATTGTTTTTTATAAAGCAACAAGATCAATCACTCTGGGGCCTCCAATCAGGCTTGGCCATTCCAGATACTTCACCACTTGGCAGCACACTGTCGTGGCCTCGCTCTTGCCATATGTCCAAACCATCTCTACTTAACTAATGTTTAAAACAGATCTGCAAAGTTAACTTATATCTTATGTCTTATATAATCATGGTCGCTAGATAGAAAAACTAACATCCATTAAAAAAAACCCAACTATCCTTTATTGACTCATAGCTTGTAAAAACCCCTGTCCTGAATACCTCATATGAAATTAAAAGAACACTTATATGACTAGCCTTGCCAATTTCTTTACTTATTGCTCTCAAGTGTTGACAGATATTATCTACTGCACACAGGGAAGCTAGTGATCTCCGAATTTCGGTGGTATTGTGGAAGACAAGACTTGTTTTCATGTGGCAAATCCTCAGTGCAGCGAGGAATGAAGTCAGTAATATACTAATAGAGACAGAGAGGAAAAGAAGCATTTGAAAAGATATTTGCTACAGGAAGTTTAATGTGGAACAATCTTCTTGTCTAAAAACGGGTTCACTTTCTTTATTCACTTTTGTGTGTAAGCTTATGATTAGGAAGGAAGGAGTGGTGTGCAAACTACAACATTGACCTTCAGGTCCCGCTCTGGACACTAAAACATCTTAATTTGACTCTGAGAATTAAAAAATACTACTGAATATCTGTCTGGGTATACAAATACTAAAGTTGCTCCTGCACATTATAGTAATAGTGTGAAATAGCAATTCACAGGTAAATTACCTGAGGCATATAATCAAAACAAACATCTTGCAAAAAATGTATTAATAAATGATTGCCTCTCATGACCATAATGAAGCAATTGATTTGGTCATGCTGAATTATTTCTTACTGCTTCATCACAACCTGAAAGGATATGTTACTTTTGGTTTCTTTAGCCTGAGGTTACTCAAAATGACTGTCATATCACACACTTGCTTATCCAAAGCTTTTAAAACACTGCCGCCTGCACTACCATTCTGATTTCAAGCACATACAAAGCTTAATCATAGATGCTTTTCTATTTGAAAGTCAATTCAGCGTTATAATTGACCACAAGAATCCAGACTGTTTGTAGTTTACCTTCAGATGTTACAGTGTCTTACTGTTTGTCAAGAGTAGCATATGATGGACATATTGCTGTCACGTATAACTATGATATAGTTAAAAGATGTATGGTGCAATTAATACTGAAAACACTGTGCTAGATTTGGTTGCTACTAATGGATAATATCAACAATTTCAAGTGTATTATAAACCAGTACAATCCATTATTGGTATCAAAAACTTCTTAGAAGTACAGTGTAATAGTCACATGAGATGACATGTAAGAGAAACCACTGGAAAAACTACAGATTATTCACTGTAGATGAAACTAGTAGAATAATCTCATGTGCATGACATTTTTAAAGACAAGCAAATTCCTTCATCTCAAGTATATGTCATTAATTAAAAACTTGGTTATGAAATAATTATTATGGAGCTAAAAATCTACTTCCTGTTCATTCTGTCCTTATGTACAGTGAAAATAACCATTTTATTTACCTAGAAATTAGCGCTAAACGGGGCATAATATTTCTGCATCTTGCATTTGCTTTGGAGGCAATGAGCCATCTCTACAGTGAACATCAAATGAAACAAACCGCAACTCCCTAATTCCTTTATAAAGCATAATTTTAAGTAAAAAAAAAAATGCAGCTAATGAACTGAAATTCTAACAACCTAAACTCATTGCATTTCAGTATTGGCAGGTCAATCAGTTAACAAATGAACAAAGTCAGGTGCCGTTTGAGCTACAAGAGAGGTCAATCATCAAGTTTAAAATGGATATCTTTTCATTTTCGTATTTACCTTTAGGTCCTTTAAACAGCTTGATCTCTACCACGGTCTCCAGAATAGGTCTCCTTCGGCGAACGTACAGGCGGACTATTGAGCCAGCCTCTTTCAGGGCCTCCACAGCTTTGCTGTGTGAAACTTCTGACACATCGACCTCATTCACTCGCAAGATACAGTCGTTGACCCTACAGGAAAGACAAAGAACCACAACTACTAAATGCTTCAACTGTTATTTTGGACTCAATAGAGTTTCATTAGTAATGCTGTAAAATGAAAAATACTTCATTGCAAAGTTTGCCAGACAGATTCAATGCAATACGTTTCATCAGTGATGATGATAAGGGAAATGGAACACCTATTGCCTCCAAAAGATGCATCTGATTAGATCTAAAGTCTAGCTAATCACCTACACCTACTGTCCTCCTCCATAAATTGAGGCTATTATCTACTACAGTGATAGAAATGAAACTTTCGATAGAAATTTTTCCCCTTTACGAAGACTTTATTGAAAGACTTTTACTCAGCAATATAATCTAGTTATAACATTCATGCTTCATGTATTACTGCTATGCTTGCTTTTAAGGAAACTAGTTGATTTAATTTAATACAGAGAGATCAGTAATCATTCGAATACTTCTTTAAACCTCTTATACTTCTTCAGCAGAGCCAATTAGATTGAATCATCAAAGTAAAAATGCTGTCCTGCAGAAAGCAGATAATTTAAAAGGAACATTTCATGCTAAATAATTAGAGTAAATTTCATTGCTTATGTTTTCATCACTGACTGTAGGCTCCAAGACCTGCTATGTGGTAATATCGTCTATTTTTTGTTAACTACTTATGAAATTCCCTCATATTCTTATTAAAGGCATCTACTATATTAACTTAGGATAAACTAATTTATTTAACCACCAAAAGTCCTGGTTAGATTAGTATTCTCCCTATCTTATAGATTTGTTCAGGCTGAAAAGGAAATTTGAAGCCTAAGAGTACTAATTCCAAAGTACTAGGCTCAAAACTTAACTGCTGAACCATTCTATCTTCGTCAATTCCTGGTAAGTAGGTAAGTGCAAGTTCCAAAGAACTTGATGAACTGAAACTATACGCCTCTTGCTCAATGTAAATTTGCTATGAGATGCCTGTATTTTGGGTACTGAAGAAAAAGGCATATATAAATGAACATGTTATTCGGTGTGTCTAAAAGGACAATCAATGAAGTATAGGACACTAAAAATATTCCCATTTCCCGTATACTTCTATACATAACAATCAACTATGAAATATAACCTGTTGCAGCAAAAGAACAATTGAACAGTATATTGCTCACGAGTCGAGTCCTAGCACAAGAAGTGAGAATAAAGTGCTAAAAAAAGTTTAATTCAACTTTGAGAACTTAGAATTGATTTTTGTTTTGTTCTTATGCTGTTGTTTTTTAATAAAAAGGAAAAAGAAATAAACTATTTGAAACCAAAGATGTATTATTTTGTCAGCCTTTTGAAGGGACATTTACAGAGGGAAATGTTTCTAATAGCTTTCAACTGATAGTTGGTTCAGTTTGGAAAGGAAATAAAATTGAAACTTCCCTTCTGATAAAAAGTGACGTATTGCAAAGTTTCCAGTTTTCATTCAATGATTTGATTTTCTGCTTTCCTTCAACGCCAGAAGTATTAATTTTTCAAATGTAGAATTGTGTAGTTTGGCTGTCAAATTAATAAGTGCTCTAATATAAATTGTTTTCTTTTAAATAATTCTTTTAAATAGATCATGTATGCATCCTGCTACCACTTCCTACTCAGACAAATAGTAATTATATCTAAGTTGCTGTTCCATCTTTCTATTAATATTGTTATGCACGTGATTCTTGTCAAATTTCTGATTCTTATCATTGTCATATCTGCAGTAGAATTGGCTGTACCACCCTTAATGAACAAACTACAGAATTCTAACCATTGGATGGCTTTGAAGATGAAAAGGGGAAAAAAGACTGTAAAAAGACTAAAAAGGAGGGTTGCATTTACTTTGTTTTCATATACTCTTATGTCCTGCACTGATAAATATTGATATTACTACACAGCCCTGTATATCTAAAAACTCTTATAAAAAAGGCTCTAGTGATGCCTCCCTCTAAGGGAAAAGTCATGTCTTCTGCAGAGAGTCAATAAGAACATGAAATAATACTTGCCAAAACCAGTAAGCCACATACATTCATTTACTGAACAAGTAAGATCCTTTCGAAAAGGATGTTTATACCACACCAGTACTCTCATCTTAGTGTTCAAAATCTGTCATTTCAGAGTTATATGCTTCTTTAAAAAAGTAAGATCATCCTTTATAAACCATGTAAAAACTAATGCTACTGGTGTAGGATGAATATAAGAGTAAGAGAATAGAAAGCTGCTCCAGTGATGCAAAGAAGAAATACAAACTATGCTGATACAGAAGTAACATGCCAACAATTATCCTATTCAGTCTGCTGTGATGAATGCACACAGTGCTAGATATTTAGCTACATTTTTCCAGTCCTGTAGCTTATTTTCTCAGAGCTGAGTTTTCTGTAACTAAAAGAAATGCAATATTTAAGAGCATGTGTGTATGTGCATATCAGTACCTGTAAATGCACACATGTGCCTACAGAGTTCTTCTGGCCTCAGTAGAATTTTGTTTGACATGCAGCTACAATACCAGACCATCAGAATCCAGTGATCTCAAGGATTTACAAATATGCCCTGAGAATATTCATACCCCTAAAACAGCATGTCCGTAGCGCAATGAAATAAATGGCATGAGTTGGTAAACTGGCCATATCCTTCACCATAATAACTAAACTATTATTGTTATTATTAAAACAGAAAATCTAAAAGCTTTTTTTTAACTTAGAAACTTAAGCGCACTTAGCAAATTCAAAGAATTGACTGTGATGTCCTTGTTTTTCTCCTTGAAGCTATGCAGAAGGTTTTCAGGGCCAATATTTTGCACAGTTGTTATTATTTAAAGACAGAAGCTTACGAAAGTGGGCTTGGGATACTTTTCCCTTTATCTAAATCTTCACAGCACAGTTCCTACCATACTCAAGCTCTGCTCTCTTAGTCACCCATAAATGCTGCAGCAACATAAACCTAAAATAACAGCAAAATATGTCACTAAACCAATTAGTTAAAGAAAAGTACTATCCTTTAAAGATTTCTTGACAGTTTGTTCTAGACCCACCTACCTTCTAAGCTTACAGACTGCAAGCACCCTTTACAGCTGATTATTGCTTCAGTCAAGTAGTTAAAAAACAAGATGGCCACAATACTTAAGCACTTCTTAGAAATTTAGTAGGTGTCAACTGGCAACAATCATTCTGTTTGGTCTGTTCTGTGCAATATGATGTACGGCAGAGAAACCCAAAGTAGTCTAGCATGGTAGCAAAGAGCCCTGAAGAGCTAACTGTCCTGTGGAGAAGCATTCGCTCCCGTGCAGCTCCATAAACGAATTAGGTAAAGGGCACAGCGATTGAGTGTGGGTGTCATGCAACTGCGTGGGGCCCAAGAACTCGGACATGAGCACGGACTTCTTATGGGACCGGCATAACACTGAAATGTCAAACCCGCAAGGCAACCTTACTCAGGTCCTGCTCAAAGCAATCAACCATGGGCTCCAAAACAAGAGACAGATCTGTGCTCTGTGGAACAGATTAAAAAAAAAGTAAAGCTGCAGTTATCTGCAGGTCTTAGTTATTATCAGGACACCTTCAGTCAAATCTGCAGTTTATTAACCGGGCAGCCCCGCTTCTAACAAATGCAGAATTATGACCATTAGCAGATTATTTCCAAGCAAATCTAGCTTTTTTTTTTTTTTTTTCTTTTAAGCCATCTTCTCCAAAAAGCTGAAATTGATCTGGACTTCATTCTTTCATCAAAGCTTTGCAATCAAGATAAAATATTGAGGGGAAGATCAGTGCAAAACTCCTTAGGTATCAGACAGACAACATAAATAAGAGAGAGAAGAACTAAACTTCCACTTCATTTCCTTGCTCCTGCTCTGTCTAACCTTTTTCCCCAAACCTCCCCTGTCAAAGGTTTGATGCTTGCTTTCTTCGAGAAATCATGAGAACACACCACTTTCAGCAGGAAGACAAGATTAAAAGAGACAAGCTGCAGGGACTGATTATTATCCTTTATTAAAGAAATAAATGAATCATAATATAGATACATTCCCTGACCTTAGGAGAACCAGTCCAGCAGGCATGAATACAGACAGGGAGATGTTTCCTTTTAGTCATTTATTTTTAAACCTGGTATGCACCCTTTCCATCCTACAGTAAATAGAATTTACGGTATATGGAGCTGAGGAGAGTGGAATTCTTGGTACCTGCCCATATCACTTAACCTTCAGTTTAAGGCGAAATGCATTTTTTTATTATTACTTTTAAGCATGAATTCAGAATAACGGCTGGGGTCTGAATTCTACTACACAGCAGCCCTCGGATCTGCCATTCTGATTACAGAGTGTAGAGCTAAACCTAAATGGCAATGACATACATATAGCATGTGGCATACTGTTTACTTAGGTATAATCTAATCTCCTCTATTCAGCTATTCACTAGGCACATCATCCAATTTCTGTAGCAAATTCACATTTACACTCAGGCCCCTTTCTGACATTGTAAAGTAGTATAAAGCTACTGTTACGTCTAAGTGAAAAATAAAGGGATAAACCTTAGCAGAAAAAGAAAAGATCAGATCTCATTTGCCATTTCTGCTTCTTTTTGGAAAACAGAGTGTATCAAGCACTTATGAAAATATATTTGATGAAGGTACTAGCCAATCCTAATTCAATATTTGACCCTATATATTTTATAATGAAATTACAAGTCATCTCATAGAACATTTACAGGCTTAAATATGCTTGATAAAAGCTACAGTTTTGTACAGAAAAATAATTCAGGATTTGACAGGATTTGAGACAAACAATACAAATATGAAATCCTAGGAATATTTTTATTACTTTAAATACATGTTCAAATATTACTACAATATAATGGAAACCTAGTTATATTTAACATTCAGGCAATATCTGAAGCATCAAATCTAACCTGTTCTTCCAGCAACAGCAGAATCGTCTGCACTCCTGAAGAACACAAATAAGGACTAAAAATTGAATATTGCACTTCTGAGGAGAAAAAAAAAACAAACCCTTCAAC